ACAATGTTTTCATGTGTTTTTCGTGTGCTATTCGTAGATATGCTCGTTTAAATTGTTACTGCCGCTTAATTGAAATTTTTGTCAAATTTAGCTTCTCATCGATGTTACGGTGAGCCGCCATCTTGTTTGTTATTTACGGCCCTAAGAGCATCATGAAGCCTAAAAACTCGTTGACCAATCAAAAAGCGGAACAGTTTTCCTGTAGTAAAAAGATACGAATGGCCATACTCTGTCTATAAAGGTACTCTAATCCAGAGCGATTTATTAATACAACTGTTACGAACCATCGTTTATAAAGCACGTATTTGACTTAGTTTTTGCATAAATTTACTCATTTTTGTGGAAGAACGCTCATTTATGTACTTTCTTAGCCATCTTCGTTAGAATTGGAATCTACAGACTGGCAGTGAAATTTTGTGCGTTAGGAGTTGGTTAGAAGGGTGGCTGCACTTTTGGGCCCTAAGCCCTCCATGAAGCGATCTGTCCATACTCTCGCTATACATGTACTCTAGTGCTAAGGAAGAACGCCGTATGAATATTCGAGAGTTGCCAAATTTCTGCGTATAAAAAAAGTATTTCTGAGAAAAGTTATTCATATTTCTACTTGAAATTTTCAGATATTTTAGATAAAATGCGAAAAAAATGATCTAAAAAATTAGAAGAAAAATGTTCGCAATGTTCCAAAAAAATTCGGTTTTTATTGAAGTAAATCTGGCATGGTCTGAAGGCTCATACGGCGTTTTTCCTTAGCACGGCAGCATTGAAAAACACCGTTTGAGCACGGAATGTTGCAAAATTTCTGCCGATGAAATGCTCATACCTGAGGAAAGCACAAGGTATTCTAACTTGGATCATGGAACGAAAAATATTTTACTGACTTTTGCCTATGATCAAAGAAAAAGTCAGAGGAACTTCGATGGCAAAAGTGTGAGACCACATACCTCCGTTTGTGACGTTGGAGACCTCTTGTCATACTTTATTTTTTCTTAGGCAAACTAGTCATCTACCGCCACTTGAATTTTTCTTCTCTGTAAGCAGAATATTCTACCTAAAGTTCAACCTATTAAGTTGGCTTGTCATTTTCCGAAAAAATAAAATAGGAGCGGACATTTTGAAACACCGCAATGTAGATACGTGGTTTCGCACTTTGACCGTCGATTTTCAGTTTCAAATTCCAAGCAACCGCATCAAGAAAGTCTGAAATTCACTGCTAAGCGCGCTTTCGTAACACGCTTTTGCAAATTTACCGCGAATGCGGGCAGTTTTTCTTGTTGGCCGGCAGTCAGGTTTGCCCGGAGCGAGAACTCACCTAAATAAACAAACAATCTCGGGATCTGCTATAAAATCTCCTTGCGTAAGATTTAAATTCATTCAAAACTTTTGTTTTTATGAAATAAAGAAAAAAAGGAAACAAACGCTTAGAAACGATTTAAATCATACCATAGAGCATGTCAGTGAAATCGTTTGTTTACTCAGCTTAGTTGTTCTCATTCCTCTGTCTAAGCAAACTCGGTCGGCGGTGACTTTACAAAAACTGCCCGCAGACGCGGAAAACTTGAAAAAGTGTATGTCACAAACTATACGCAGGTTGCACGCTAAGGAATGGATTTCAGACGTTTGTGACGTGTACAACGTGATTTTCGTACGATTTGACCCGTATATAGTATATTTATGTGTCTGCATCTCTTAAGTGCAACAGACCCATTTGGTGACTTTCAAACGTTCTTAGACCGTTTTGCTTCTACACGGCGTGACGTCCGCATTTTCGTTCGAAGTCCCATGGAAAATGGCAACGCGCCTCTGCGATCCTGGCCGCGGAAATTTCAATATTTACCCGCTCAGGAGCCCGAGGGCGAAAGCGAGAGGGAGAGCGAGAGAGAGCGAGAGAGAGAGAGAGCGCAAACACCGGAATCCAACTCGGCGCGGGAACAATAAAATCGGACGATTTATCCCGGCGATAATCATCTGTGATGCCCGCTTTGTCACCGCGCTCCGCAACCATCGATATTTTCACCGCTTTTTAACGGGGAGAGTCGAAGTTCGAGTGTTGAAGAATATCGATTGAGGGGAGGGTAGAGGACGGAAGGGCCAAGTCTCTCGGTTCCCCGTTCCACGATTACACTGCTAATTAGTAATTAGGCCCTTGTTTGTGTCGCCGACACGCTCTTTTATTGCCTCCCCGCAAGTATTTATCCACGGGCTCCCTCCCCCGCCCCCTCCTCCGCAATGCTGCGCGCCTCGCAACAGTCACCGCTCCAGCATCCCGATTTTGAAATCTGCTGCACTGAAGAAAAACGCCCTACGAACACTCGTATGTTGTCTGATGTTTTCTACGAAAATATTTCTTCCCATAATAATGGAGGGGCTTGGAGGACAAGGCGCATATGTGCAGTTTTTGAAAAAAATCAGATATTAATGATCTCAAGTAAAACTAGTCCTTAATGTATATTTCGTAAAAAATTCGCTCCCATATTCCAATTTTTAAACATTAAGAAGTCAGTATGAAATTTCTTCCCGTTATAAGGATCTGTGTAATTTTGAAACTTCGAACACGCATTTCTCGAAACTGGAAGAACTGCATTTATGCGCCTTGTTCTCCAACCCCTTAATTGACTCTAAGTTGCAGGCAAATAGTGAAATCAGGCATTTAGCATAGGCATATGATTAAATAGTTTTACTTACATTGAAATGCTGATTATTTTCCTAATATTGGACAAAATAATTCATTGCTTCTGATAGAAACAGTCTCTATATAAAAATATGTACCTTACGTAAAAGCATTTTAGACGATTTTTAGCGCATTTGAATAAACTCTTATCTAAAATTTTCAGCATGGCATGAAATTCAATTATTTTAAAAATTCTAACATTTAAATAAATAAAATGCATTCAAAAAGAAAAAGGCAAAAAGAGTTTGTAAATTTAATAGTTTAATTTTCCCAAAATATTGAAAATTTCGCCATAAATAAACAAAATTTCGTAAAATGTCAAAATAATGGAAATAGCCTCCATGCACGCCGGGCTTGTCGATTTCCTTTGACATTTTTGCAGTGGTGAATGCAGAGCTTAAGTGCGCTCCAGCTAGAATTGTATTTAGCAAATGGGTGGTTTTTATACGAGGATCAAAAATAAACAAGTGGTACGGAATAAAAGAAAAGAATATGAACTATGCAAAACGATAATCCGGGTATCGGAACTTGGCTGTTTTGAAAACGCCTTCAAATGCGGCGTGAAACCTCGCGCATTCCGGAGAGTTCAAATAGTTGTATCATTGCGCCGTAGAAGAATGTGACGGGAGATGAAAATTATTTAACTGTCTTTCTTAGCATTTGCTCATTAGATGAATCTCATCTTTTGAAATGTTCGGAAATAACTAACCCTTATAGATGCCCCAAATTTTTATTATACGGCCAACGGAAACAAACTCAATATGGGAATAGAGCAAAGAAAGGACGTGCGTTGATGACGGTGCAGGGATACAACTATTCGTGCTTGATGGATGTCAGTGTTGCATCTGAAAAATTGAAGGCGCTATGGCGCGCTGCGTGAACTCGCATTACTCCGTCCGCTCAATGCTACCAGTGAGTTGACGCTAGGAAAAAACATTAAAAATTAGGGGTCACAGAGCTTATAGTAATGATTTTCAAAACACTACATCGGAGACTAATTATTTTCTCGTTCAATATTACGTTCACAATTTAATATGCACATATATGTACATATTTATGCGACATGCATATGTATTTGGGTGAGAAGGGAGTTGGTAACCGTTCATAATGATTTGTGCATCGAGGAGCATACTGAGGCTTACAAATAAACACATTTTACTTTCCGAATCCAATCGTGAGAATGGGGTGGTGCTGTGCGAAAATGAACCTGAGTTTGTCAGGGGAAAAAAATATAAGTTCGATTGGAAGCAATCACACTTTGGGAGGCCTAAGTGCGTATGAGAATTGTTTGACTTATACGCGGTGATCCAGTGAAAACCACATGATTTTCTTCTCTTGAAAGGTTAAAAAAACAAACTCACCAATCAGTGGCGTGGCGTGACTATATCCGGTAGGCGTTCGGTAGGTGTGTTAACTTTAGGGGGGGGGGGGTCAGAAAGGTTCACTCCCCTTCCTTAAAGGGGGGGTTCGGGGGGCCTCCCCCGGAAACTTTTTAAAAAATGAAGCCGCAAGAACAAGATTTTAACCCTTTCTGATGAAAATTAAGCCGGTAAATTGTCATTGTCATCGAAATTTTGTTCTTTTTACCGATCGTTTTCCTGTAATTTATTTTGTTAAATGATAACGTATTTTCGCAACACGCACCTGCAGAGAGAGGTGGGACAGGGAGACTGGGAAACTGGGAGATACGGCCCGCAAGCGCAGGGGGGAAGCGCAGGGCGAATCGCGGCATAGAGGAAATTCGGCGGTTCGCAAACGCCTGCGGACCACTGCTATAGGAAACAGCTTGACTAATGAGCGGCTCTCTTCTCTCGTTCTTTTCCCCTCCCTTTTCTCTCTGCTGTGTTCCCTCCGCGAGCGCGGTCCGCACTCGTCTCCGAACCCAATGCTCACGCTCCGCTCTGCGCCGCGCGCCGGTGCCTCTCCTCTCTCGTGTACCCTTTGCCCCTTCATCATTGCACCCAGGTTCTCTCTCCTAACCACCGTACGCAGATCATCCAAGTTCGGTAGCCGGTGCGGACCACGTGTCACAGGATTTTCTCTCTCCGCCGCGCCACATGCCGCGCTGTCGGAAGCCAAGCGCCCGATACTTATTTGCGATCTACTATTCTGTATTCTGTATTGCTTCCCACATTCTTAGCCATAAATTATTAGTTGTTTCAAAATATTTTAGGGTGTTCGGCGAACACTGCGAACCTATGGACGCCACGCCACTGTCACCAATCTCTAAATTGTTGAACATAGCAGTCTAACTTTCATTTTCCCTGTGAATGGTCACAATATGATAGCATGTTTAGTAATACAAGTGAATGTCATTGAAAATCTGGCTTACCTGAGACCAGGAATGTAAACGATAGGTTTGTTGAGAGAGTCTAGCCATCGAATGTCAGGAAGGGGGTTGCCCTGAGCAGTGCAACTGATAATGGCACCAAAAGTATTTGAGTAGTCCAACCAAGATGGTGGTTCTTCCGTGAAAGAAGGTCCTCTGGAGTGGGGAAGCAGGCACAAAGAATCTGCAATAAAAAATTAAAGTTAATAAGTGAATGAACGAAGGTGATAAATATATCATAATTATAATGACTATAGATAATTTAGGATAAATTGGTGCATTTTTGAGAGAATTGTAAGAACTTAAACGCCTAGATTTTTTTCCCACACTCACGGCTAATGTCATAGAATACGTATCTCATTCACAATATGCCACAACATTACCACAAACAAAAACTTTTCAAATGTACAGCTTTTTTTTTGCAAGATAAAAGAAGTTACAAAATCTCTAAAGCAGTGCATACTTTCAGTTCCTCATTGCGAAATGCAGTTCATTTCGTGAACAGTATCTCTGGTCATTTACATACATTTTTCCTGATTTCACACGGAGCGAAAATCTGTTTGCGAGCAATCCAAACAATAACCTTTGTCCGTTTTGTTCATATAAGGGCCGTTCATGAAATACGCGAAGGTACATTTAGGATTTTCTCGATGGATTTTGTGACGTAAATCCCTGCCCATTAACACGTAAAAAGAAAATGATGTAACGCTTTAAAGTGCGCATTTAAATTTGGCAATAGCTGGCGTGGCTTGGTTCCACTATACTTATCGCGGTCCATTTAATGATCCTGATGCAAAGCAAGGAGGACGATAATCGTTTTTCTATGGTTCATTTTTTTAGCCGTAGGGTAGAGTTCTCAAAATTGATCGTTGAAACATTGGTGAGCGAGTTCTTACACTTCAACGGTCTTCATCTTCCTTGGGGAACTTTAAAACGCGCCTACATAAAAAGCATTTGAACGCTTCTCTAATACGAACGTATCAGAGCTATCCCTTTTTTTAAAAAAATACTTTAAAACAAATTCATTTTTACCAGCTGCTTTTCAGACTATATTCGTTAATTTTTTGAAAGACGAGGGAGGGGGTAGACGGGTGAAGCATGTCGCACGTAATTCAACCTAAAAGTCGAGATGTTGTCAAACGGATGTTTTGAATGGAAGGAGGGGGGGGGGAGTCAAAACGTCTTACGTAATGTAATTCTTGAGCGGACCATTGCTCCACGCATGACAGACGGAAAGATGGAAGGAAAACGGTGGGTTGGGATAGTGCTGATTGAGAACTCGTGTCCCACCCGGTGGAAGATCCCGACACGGAAGCGACAACCGCAAAACCATGCATCGCTCGTCGGGAATGTGCCCCATTCCCCCCTGGAATCCGCCCCTCCTGCCCGCACACCCCTGTGCAAGTGTGCAATGCCCCATGCCATCCCTCCATTCCGCGTCCACTGCAGCGGTTAGCGGTGAGCGAGTCGTGCGACAGACCGCGCCTGGAACCTCATAGCGGCACCACTCACACTCGCACCGGTTTCCTGCGCCAATTCGTAAATCACATGTCGCCTGCTTCGTGTATCATTAATGTGTTCTATGAGCCCGGATGTTGTCAACAGGATGTAGGCCTCCGTCTACGACTCCACCGACGTCGCCCGCAACGCTCCTAGGCGCACCCTTTCTTGTATCACGGACTATGTATAAGATAACATTAAGCAAACCAGGTGTATCTACATCGAAACTGTTGGAAAAATACCGATCTATTGCAAACTTATCGGCGGTGAAACTGCAAATATGCGTACCTTGTTTTTTTTTTTTTTTTTTTTTTTTTTTTTTATGTATTTATAAAGAGACCCACCAACAGAATAGTCTTTATGAAGAGAAGAAAAATCACTGAAACTTTCTGAAAATGAAGATTGGTAGTTGCCTATATAGAAAATGAAGTACGATAGGAAATCTGTAAAGCCGCGAACGGAGATACGCATTTTTGCAGTTTCACCGTCGTTATGCCAGAGCAAGGATGTGAGTTGTTTATGTAGGAAATTTACTTTGAAATCACGATGAGCGCATAGGGGGAATCTGAAATTTATCTCAAATTCTCATACTACTTGAGAAAGGAGGGGTATCGAATGAGGGCCGTTTTCAGACTTGCCTTAGCTGAAATTCCTCAATTCTACGATTTTTCACCCAATGCAGGTCTATATTTCACGGAATTCATCATGATTTGGTAATTTTTTGCATCATTTTGGGGTCTAATACTGGATGGATCTGAATGTCAATTTCAAAGTAAATAGCGGGTATAGCGTCGAATGCCGAAAAATCAGAATTTTTGTTAAAATTGACCCCTCAGACCCACGTTTAGGCTTAAATTAGAGCCTAAACCGAATCATGATATATTTCGTTAAAAATAGTCCTTTAATGCGCAAAAAATCGTAGAGGTTCGGAAATTCAGCTAGGATGGATCCAAAAATGGCCCTTATCAATATCTCTCCTTTTATGCAGGTACGTGCGCATTTTTGAGCGTTCTACTTCAAAAAGTATACTGCGGCAAGGATATCATTTGATACAGTTGAATATCCCCGGTTATAATTCCAAGCGAAATGACCCCTTCCTTATTAATACTCAGGAATTATACTTTCAAAGATGGATATATTTATAAAATTCTGACCCTCGTTCATTGAAGGGACATTTATCCAGAATGAGCCACTAAACAGAGTCTGAACTAGAGAAAAACGGTACATGTTCTCTCTTCAAAATTTCGAGTAAATAACGGTTCACGCAACGGGAAATTGATTATTAATATGATCATTAACTTGGGGATCGGTTCTCGAATATGAGGATTACTGGGATAGTACTTCTTCTAAATCGCTCTTTTAGACGAGCACGAGCACGGTAGAGCTCCTTCAATTTTTTTGACGCAACCTGTGGTTACCGCAGAGTTTGATAAGTTGCATGCTGCATGTGCATGTACTCTCCAGTGAAGGGACTTGTTGAGGGCATGAGATAGATTTGATTATTTGAAGGTAAAAAACGCACAAAAAGCACATTTAGCACATTAAGATGCTTGAAATTCACTATCCAAAACGCATTTTGCATTATCGTAGTTAGTATCACTTATGTTCAAAGTATCAACGTCCTTGGGCACTTTCTTTTAGTCGGCAATAGCAAATAGGCAGTGACAAGTAGGCAGTGGCAATTAGGCAGTGGCAGTTACCCCAACCGACCCTTAAGGATACCCAACCTTAAGAGACAAACATTCTTGCAAACAGGAATAAATCTTTCTTACATTATAATTTAATGTATATGAGCCACTACATAAAGTCTGAACTAGATAAAGATCCGCACATTTTCTCCTTAAGATCTCATAAATATAATCATTAACGCAGCATGAAGTTCGAAAATTAACACCTTTGAACAAGATACAGAAAAGTATTAATTGCACAAATCAAATGAAAGTCAGATTCTATAAAAGAAGTTCTTCGTATTTTTGCCTATTGCTTAATTTTAACTGTATACGCTCATGTCTTGTTTAGGAGCTGATTTCCGGACATCCCGTTGCGTGATTCGTTTCCGCGTAAAATTTTGGGTACAAGGTCCGTGTTGCTTCAAATCATTCCTTGTATAGACGCCCATTTTTTGAATTTCGTTCGTTCGAAATTTATTACACCAAAAACAAATTTGAGAATTCAATAGGAAAACCTGGAAGTTTAATTTTGCTTCCGCTTTCACGGACTTCGATTTAAGGGAGAGAGAAAGAGAGGAGCGTTAGATGGCCTCACTGCTCCACAAATGTGTTCACGGTTTCAAATATTTTATTCAAACTTAGAAGGAAAAGTTAATAAAATTCACTTCATATTTCTCCTAGCCGGTGGTTTAATCTTGACCCGATAGGTGACAGAGCTGCGGTCGCGAGCATCAAGTCTAGATAAATTACTGATGATTTTACGTTAAAGATGAAAATTCGTAAAACTCTCGTTTTTAAATGATCCGTAAACGAAAGAAGCTTTCCAGAGGTATCGCAATCGCGGGCAAGTCGGAGCTCATGCAAACGGAGTGAAACGAGAGGGGAATAGCACACAAAGACAACGTTCAGAAACAAAAGGAAGCACCCCCATCACATTACGATTTACATAATAAATTGTCTAATTCAACCACTGGAAAATGGAAGCTCATTCCCGTAAAAATATGTACTTTATTGTTTTGAGTCAAGTTGCATTCTAAGCAGAGTCGTTGTATCGTGCGGTCAGATCTTTGTTTGAAAAAAATCCATCCAATTTACGTTAGCTCCGACATAATTTCCGGTTCAGTTTTTACCCGGTGCTCCGTAATAATGTCAGCTCCGCGTTTCAGACCCCCCTCCCCCCTTTTTTCCATTTTATCCGACTTTTTCCCCCTTCATTCGCAGCGCTTCCCACGTTTTTTTTATCCCACCGTACCCATTCTTTCCTCGCCAATCTTCTTATACTCCTCCCCGTTTGCTTTTTCTAGTGAACAGATCATTTACAACCGAGGGACAGTAGCAGTGCATTAACAGCCCATCAGAGGAGATACCAAATTATGTGTTCCCTCTTCAAATTTACTATCCATAATAATGAAATAACTATCAGTAGGTCAGTTGAAGCGAACTACTTAGTTTTACAATTTCTCACTTATTCACTATGTCCATTGTTCATGGGCGTAAGAAGGGGGCGGGCAAAATGGGGCCTGGACCCCTTAAAATTGAAAATAACATAATCTGCCCCCCCCCTCCCACACTAAGAAATTCTAGATGACAGCAGAAACCTCTATTGGGGATGATTATTTCTTTTCATGTAGGGTCTCAGATGAAAACATCGTGTTCATTTATAGTTAGTATTTTTTTAAATTTTCTTAATGGCAGCCTCAAAATGCGTCCAAATAGAGTTAAAATTTTAAAAAATTTCAAGACAGGTTGAAAGCAACAGTTTGAAAGTAATCTATGCTGAAAGTAAAAAATGAACGTAAATCTTCGGGAGGTTTTAGAGGCAATTAACAGAGATGGGCTTCTGGCGTAGATCCGCTGGTATTTCCGGAAAAGATCGCGTCAGGGATGAGACGGCACGAGAGATCACGGATGCCAAACAGACCATCTTGCATGAAATTATGACGAAGCAACTCATTTCGTATGGTCATGTTCAGAGAATGGCAGGAGACAGGTTGATTGAAGCAGAAATGTTAAG